TGCTGTTGTGCATCTTGCTCTGCATGTCCTGTCGTGTGTCTTGCTCTGTACGTTCTCTCGCGCTGATCGGCTGTGCAATAAGGCTGGCGATGTTACCGGAAGAACCCTTCGCAATGCTTTCGGGAACAAGGATCCTTATGTCTGAACAATGATGCTGTCCTTTCTGTTTGGCTCCAGCTGCCACTCTTTACAAACGGGTATGTTTTTTTTTGAGTGCTTTTTCCGAGGCTACCCTTTTTGGGGTGCTTAGGGAAACCAACCCCCCCCCCCAAACCGCCCGCCCAGGGGACGAGCTGGGGGAGACGCCTTGGTTCGGACCACCGCCTGAGCTTGGCGAGGCCTGCTTTTTCTGCTTAGTCGCACACTGACCCCCAATACTGACGCTGTGTCCGCGCACCCATGTTTGCTTCAGAGACCATCAGGCTGTCGCTCAGTGACATGCCAGGTCCTGTGTCCATTCAAGGCACGGGCGGCGCTCATGTTCACTGGTAGCCTTTGAAGCGGGCAACCATGAAGAGCGCATGTGAAGGACTCCACATGCCTGACACTCATGACTGCTATGGCTTCTTTGCGAGGGCCCACCTTTGCGAGCGGCACCTTGGCTGGGCAGTGTGCCTATCACACCTAGTAAGGGTGGCGGAAAAAGCGCTCGCCCGCTTGTCCGTTCCGCCAGCAAAGGCGATGGTGTGTTAGGGAGCGTCGGCCACTTGCTTGGCCGATGTATTGATTAGCAGCAGGGATCCTGGACACAGGCGAGAGGCCCCGAGCTATCCTCGGTGAGGGTCCACGTGTAAAGTGTTCTCTCCTTTCCTTTTTCCGACACACCCCGGCGGCGCCTTTCCGGATAGTACCGCGTCGGCATTGAAAGCCCGGCCGACTCCCTCAAGGATTTTGGCCGGGCTCCAGCTTGTTTTTAACTCCACCCTAAACCAATCCACACAAAACCGACCCTAGACAAACCCGCCGGCCCAAGACCAACCCTGACCCGAGGCTTGTGTGCGTCCTCTGGTAAACGTACACTTCGTCAAGCCCTAAAGCCACCCTAAACCCCACCGCTGACCAACCCTAAGCCAAGACTTTACCCACCCTGAACCCACCCTTTGATAAACCTCAACCCAGCACAGACCTACCTTAAAACCAACCAGACCGTCCCTGAACCAACCCAAACCCAGAAACCACCCTAGCTCACCCCAAATAAACGACTTGCCCAACCTCACATGAACCCACACTTACAACCGTACCAACTGTAACCAACCCTTCCCATCCGAAACCAATCCCAACCAAACCTGAAACCCGCCAAAACCAAAACCACCCCTAAGCCCTAAGCCGTTGCCGAGCGCCGTTGAACAGGGAAGGCTTGAACAAAAAGATTTGGCGGGTGAAAAGAAAGGTTCCCCATTTTAGCCCGGAACAAAAGTCAATCCTCAAAGGCCGCGTCGTGGAATTTGGATTGCTGGTCCGTGCAGTGAACATGAAGGATCATGAGCTGCATCGCTGCATTGGGTAGCATATGCTCCAACCTTCGCCTGAAAGCGGACCATCGGGTTCTGCGATGACTAATGTTGGCACTCGATTAGTAAAGGGTGCCGGAATAATAGAAAGTTTGTTTCCTTATTCTGGTTCACACCCATTGTTTAAGGGGACCAGAATAATAGAAAGTTTTTTTCGCCGGGGGCAAAATTCCAAAAAGAAACCCCACAAAGCAAATTCAATTAAAAAAACCATCCCCCCCCCCAAACAATCACCAAAAATCCATGTTCACCCCATAGCAAATGCCAACAAATTCACAAACATGCCCAAACAATCACACCTGAATCTCCATCAAAAACTGGCCTCAACCACGTGTGGCTCCTGAACTCAGCCCTGCAGCAGCTCATTTTTGTCTCAAGCCAATGCCAAAATGCAGGTCTGAAGGCCCCTTCAGCCCTCAAGCTCCTCAACAGTCTCAAGGAA